ATAAGAATTAACCAATGAATGGATAAATAAATGGAACAACAAATCAATGTTTCTCACTCCTCTCTCTAAAATCAATCAATAGCCCTAACCAGTTTGGCTCAGTGGAAGAGAGTTGGCTATGGACTAAAGGATCCTAGGTTCGATTCCAGTCAAGGGCATGTACCTTGGTTGCAAGCACATACCCAGTAGGGAGTGTGCAGGAGGCAGCTGATCGATGTTTCTCATTGGTGTGTCTAACTCTCTATCGCTCTCCCTTTCTCTCTGTAAAAAATCAATAAAATATATTTATAAATAAATAATAAACTTTCCATAATTATGAAAATTTTGGGGTTGTTTATAATTAAAATAATGTTTCTTTCACCTATATTTCAACTTATTTTATCTCCCATCCCAAAGGGAATAAAGCAGATTTAGACTTCAAAGTTAAGGGCACTTGCCAAAGCTGGTTTGGCTCAGTGGACAGAGCATCTACCTATGGACTGAAGGGTCCCAGGTTCAATTCCGGTCAAGGGCATGTACCTTGGCTTCGGGCACATCCCCAGTGGGGGGTGTTCAGGAGGCAGCTGATTGATGTTTCTCTCTCATCAATGTTTCTGGCTTCCTCTCTGTAAAAATATCAATAAAATGTATTAAAATATATATTTAAAAAAAAGTTAAGGGCACTAGATTTGAGCCAGATTTCTATTATGGGGACCACTTACTAGTCAAGTCACATGGCTTTGCTGAACATTAATCTTCTCACCTGTCAGATGGGGACATTAGTACCTATGCTATTCGCAGGACTGATGGGAGGATCAAATAATAGCAGATGTACTATGCAAACTGTCAAGATACAGACACAGCCAACACCTTTTCAATTATATTTCCATTTAACTCTCGTAACAACCCTGTGAAGTAGGTAGAAACTGAGGCCAGAGAGTGGCTTGTCCCAGGTCAAACACTTGGCAAGTGGCAGTGGCAGGATTCCCAACACCAAGTTCAATGCTCCTATACAAATATAAGTAATTATCTAAAAGGTAATTAGATTAATACTCCTTAAGACGAATATTAGATATGAGGTATGGATTCTTTTGCATATACATGCCCACAAAACTTAGTAATCCTGAGACACTAGCTTCTGCTCACACTTGAGTTCCTTTCTGCAAATGTACTTACCTATACTGAAAGACCGCGTGCTGCTTGGAACAAGAGGGATGATCGATTGGAATGTCTGCAATACGGCGGTGTCGCCCCAGGAGGTAAGCGCTTTGTCGATGAATGTACATGATTGGAAGCACTTCATCATTTTTAAATGGGTAGAGACGCCACCGTTTTTTAGGGATACGTGCTTCGGGGGGCTCGCTGTATTTAATGACTACACCTCGGAAGGTGTTTGTGTCCTCAAGAAGTGCCCCAGAAAGTTCAAAGCTTGGCTTTTCCTTGACGGGAACCTCTTTGCTTTTGCTGTTGCCACCAGATGGAGGAACCAACTCCTGAGACTCATTACCACTGGTACTGCCTTCATTCTTTTGGCGATGCTCCCGCCTTCGGGCATTATAAAACTCCCGCTCTGCTTCCTGAGCCGGCAGGTTCTGAAGGTCTCGATCACGTCCCTGAGCCGGCCCACTCCCAGGTCTCTCGTTAGAGGTTCTCCTCTGGTGGGAGTGACTCCTGTGCCTGCCTCGGTCACTACTCCTGGCTCGCCTGTGTTCCTGTCCCGATGATTCCCGGTGCTGCCGATCTTCCCGTTCTCTCCGGGGTGGATGATCCTCACGTTCCTGAAATTTGAGCAGACTCAGTATATTCAAGACAATCCAAAATCTACAAACAAGCTACATTCAAAAAGTCATTTTTTATTTGGACTTTGGCATTCAAGAGCAAAATGCTGCCTAGCCAGGTTGCCTCTGTGGTTGAGCTTCGGCCTATGAACTAGGTCATAATGGTTCAATTCCCAGACAGGGCATATGCCCAGGCTATAGACTCAATCCCCAGTTGATCAATGATTCTCATCATTGATGTTTCTATTTCTCTCCCCATCTCCCTTCCTCTCAGAAATAAAAAAAATACATATATTTTTAAGAATGCAAAATGCCCCACAGAAATAAGATTATCAGTGGGTATTATGTTTCCACGCAAGGCCACACTGTGTATCCCATGTTGTTGCTCAATTATAGCTCTAACAGTGCCAGTCCATGTTCAGAGCCCTAGAAACAACTAAAAAGAGATCATATACAGAAAATAGAACTAACAAAGAGAGCTAACTAATCACAAACAGGATAAATGTGTAAAGAGAAAGCTATCTTTCTCACATTTCAACAGTAACAAAAATATATTATTCAATACCTAGGAATATGCTTAAGAAATATGTAAGATCTGCCTGGGATCAATTGGTTGAAGCGGCAACCCCTGCACCAGAAGATAGATCCCATTTGATTCCCTGTCAGGGCATATTTTTACGTCTTGACTATATAGAGGTCACCATTTCCAGAAACAAGACAGAGTATATGTCTATACTAGTTTTACAACTACAGGCGTATATTCTTTCATTCAACAAAAAATTCACCCGTTTTGAGAAAATCCCATTGCAGATACAAGTGATTACATGCATAAGACTTTAGCAATGGTGAGAACAGGCTCTAGATTCAGACCCTGCACCAAAACATCTCAATCCACTTACCTGCTTCACTTTGACTGTTGAGTGGTGAGGACTTCGGCTTCTGTTACTCCGAGGAGACTTGCTTCTTCTCCCTGAGGACTTTTTCTTTTTGGCTGGGGATCTGTTAAAAGAATGGTACACGAAGGATTTTATCTCCATTTCCCTCCCCCATGTAAATTACCTTCAAATATCAGGCTTACCTACCATACAGACTTCACATTTGTGAAGGTCTCTGCTTTTCTCACTGTAGGAGTCAGGAACTTCGCCTTCCTAGCCCACGGTCTCCCCTGAGTTCCAGACCCACAGACATAACTGCCTACCAAACCTTCTCACACTTAGATAACATAACTCTTGATTCCCAACCCTCAAAACTTTTCCTCTCTCAGTCTTTGCCATGTCAGTGTCACCACCCTCCACCCTGCTCAAGCCAAAAACCTAGAAGTCATCCTTGATCCTTTTTCCCCTCACCAGCAGCGCCCACACCCCTTCCCCACAGTCACATTCAATCCATCAGCAAGTCCTCTCCCTCCCTCTCCTACCTCATTCCAACCATTCCTTTTGATCACCACACTGGATTTTTTTCTATTTCTAAAACAATCACAATTGTCCTGGCCAGGTATCTCAAGTGGTTAGTGTGTCATCCAAATACACCAAGGTTGCAGGTTCCATCCCAGCCAGGGCACATACAAGAATCAACCACACCGAAGCCGGTTTGGCTCAGTGGATAGAGCATCGGCCTGCGGACTGAAAGGTCCTGGGTTCGATTCCGGTCAAGGGCATGTACCTTGGTTGCTGGCACTTCCCCATTGGGTTTCAGGAAGCAGCTGATCGATGCTTCTCTCTCATCGATGTTTCTAGCTTTCTATCCCTCTCTCTTCCTCTCTGTAAAAAATAAAAAATAAAAAAATAAAAAAACTCAATAAAACATATTTTAAAAAATTAACCACTGTATGCATAAATAATCGGAACAACAAATCGATGTTTCTTTCTCTCTCTCTCTCTCTCACCCTCTCTCAAAAATCAATCAATAAAAATAAATAAGATTATCACAACTGATTCCATTACAGATTCTTTGCACACACTGTTTCCCCTGCCTGGGTCCTTACAAGGTCAAATTAATCTTATCATTCAGGTCCGCTCAAATGGCACCTTTTCAATGCGGCTTCTCCCACTTCCCTGCAAACTTTATCACATTAAATATTATAACCTATTCGTAATACTTGTTATAAACAAACTTTTTTTTATTTGCTAGTCATTTTGTCTCAGGGTCATAGGACATCAATTCAAGAGGGTAATGTCCATCTTACATTTTATTTTATTTTATTTTATTTTATTTTATTTTATTTTAGAGAGAGGGAGGAAGAGAAGGGGAGGGAACAAAGGTAAGGGGGTAGGGAAGGAAGAGAGAGACATCGATTTGTTGTTCCACTTACTTATACTATTCACTGGTTGGTTCTTGTTTGTGCCCTGACCCGGATCCAGCGGGAACCACACGAGGCTCTAACTAACCGAGCTGTCGGGTCCCGTTTTCAGCCTCAGTACCCAGGGCAGCCTTCGGCACATAACAGGTATTCAGTAAAACTTTGTGGAATGAATAAATGAACCCGTCTAGCAAGAGACAACCCTAGGCGCTCCAAGTGGAAACCTTTTGGGGCCGATCATTAGAGACACCGCCCACACTCTATTTGCAGGCAGACGAGGAAAACCTTCCATTTCAACTTATAAAAGGATCCTTGCTGGCCGCTAAGTGCTGGGCACACAGGCATAAAGAGGTGGGATCCTGTTCATTAGGCCCCTAACGCCCAGCGACAACGCCAGGAACAAGTAAACAATAACACCAGCCCCGCCGCTACTTCCACCGCCGTCCGATTCAGCCCAAGCCGCTGCGCTCTGCATTCTAGGGGTGTGTGTGTGTGTGTGTCTGAGGCTGGCCGGCCCGCCGCGGCGGCTCCCCACTTACCGGCTACGTCTCTGCGCTCGGTTCCCGCGGTGACCGGGGCGGCCAGGCTCGCTGGCTGGCGGGGACGCGCTGCCGCCGGAGTCCGGGCGGCGGTGAGCGGGAGGCGCGGCCTCCGGGCTGAGGCGTTCCTGCTTCACCACCACCATCGCCGCCGCCGCCACCGCCGCCACGTCCTCGTCCCGGTGCCGGCGCCGGCTGCCCCGCTCCCGCTCGCTCTTCACCTCTTTCATGATGAGATGTCCACGGAGCGTAGGGAAAACTCGGCCGTTGCGCTCCCCTCGCAGAAAGGAAGTGACGTGCCGGAGCCCCGGACTTCCGCTCTGGAAGTACACGCTCTCCCAGAAACCCTCGCGATACCGAGGCTAAGCACGTGACGACGCTTGGTGGGCGGGGCCGTCAGGACGCAGTTCGGGTGGCGCGAGTTTTAAGTTTCAAACCCCAACTCCCGGGAAAAAGCGATGCTCCCAGCGGTCGCCGCGTCCTTAGTATATTACTTCCTAAACCCGGAGACGACTCAAAAGCTCAGCAGTGGGACATTGTTTAGTCAACTGACGGGTGTTATGTCGCCATCTGCAATGCTGTCTACAAACTCCATTATGACCAAAAAAAAAAAAAAAACCCAGACGTTAAACGAAAGAAATAGGATACAAACTTGTGCGCAAACTGTGCTTACATTTATGTGTGGAAATACGAAGACAAGAAAGAAGTAGATCATAAGATAGTATACCGTGGGCAAATCATTGGTATTTCTCCAACTGTTGTGTTGTCTTTTCGCCACTTCATTAAAAACAAATGATTTTTAAAATCTGGAGACTCCAGATGTCTTCCTCTATGACTCCCACTTTGCAGGTGACAGAATCGGGAGTCACAAAAGGTGATCTGCCACCTCGTTCAAATTGCGAGCTAAGCGTGGCACAGAAGCCCGTCTTCCCGATTCCCAAGAGTAGAAGAGCGACCCGTTGAGCAGGCAGCCAGCCGGCCAAGCTAAGCAAGGAAGACCCTTACCCGGATGCTGCGCCGAGAGAAACTCGCGCGATGCTGGCCCCGCCCAACTCCAGAGCCCCGCCCAGGCCTGGAGGCTGGGAGAAGAGGTTTCCATGGTGACAGTAAACAAGGCCCTGCCTTTGAGGGGCTATTGCTGGGCTACTCGCCGGCACCATGATTCCCCCTGCGGACTCTTTACTCAAGTATGATACCCCGGTGCTGGTGAGCCGGAATACGGAGAAACGGAGCCCCAAAGTAAGGATGGGTCTTAGGGGCAGGGGAACCCGGAACTCCTATGGGGAAAGACAGATGCCTGTGTTGAAGATCCGGAGTCTCAAGGAATAGAGGCTGAAACAATTGAGAGTAAAGAGAATAGGGATATGAAAAAAAGAGGATAGGAGAGCGGAACCAGAAGCCCAGATGTTGGGCCACTCCTGAGGGTAAATTTAGGACGGGGAAGGAAGTCACAAGGAGATGAATGGGATTCGCCGTTTTTTCATGGTAGTAGGTGCAAGAATAGATCTGGTAGTGAAAGCAGACGCCTGAGCATTCGGGCCAGAAACATCGATTCAGGAGATACGAGCGTTGGATTGGGCTGGGACCAGAGACTCTTGGCCTCCTTGCGCCCTGAGACTTAACTTCTGCTGAGAAGACAGGTGGGGAGAGTGTGTGGGAAATCTGGAGCAAGGCCCAGAACGTGTGGTGCTTAGTATCTGAATCACCTCCTGCCCTAATGTGTCTCTTCCTCCCAGGCTCGGCCATTGAAAGTCAGCCCCCAGCAGCCTGGACCCTCAGGTCCAGTCCCACCGCCACCCAAGTCCAAGCTCTCAATTTCATGTGTCCCAGATCCTACAAAGCAGGCAGAAGAAATCTTGAATGCTATCCTGCCCCCAAGGTGAGAGGAAAAAAAGGTGTTTTTTTTTTTTTAATAAGCAGGAGTAGTGGCCCAGGCTTTTGCATCCAAGAACTTGAGAACATGGAAAGAGACATGCTGTCTCTGTTTCTGGCCGATCTTTCCTCCCAGTGTCTCTGAGTTCCTAGAGCTTACAGATGGCTGGATCCTGGGAAGGTGGGGCTACCTTGTTCTCTGCCTACCCTCATTTCCAGAGTGCTCGTGGCTTTAAATGCCATCTATGTGTGGAGGCTCCCAAGTGTGGAGGCTCCCAGATCTGTCCTCGCCTCTAAACTCAGAGCCATATATTTTACGACTGCTTTACTACCTTCATGAAGAGGTTGATAGGGCACTCAAGCCACCCCATCCACTGGCTCAACATGTCTAACCCTAGCTGGTTTGCTCCGTGGATAGTGCATCGGCCTGTGGACCAAAGGGTCTCGGGTTCGATTTTTGGTATAGGGTATGTACCTCATTTGCAGGTTTCCCAGCCCTTGTAGTGGCATGTGTGGAAGGCAACAAATCGATGTCTCTCTCTCGTTGATGTTTCTCTCTCTCTTTCTCTCCTTCTTTCCTCCCTTCCACTCTCTCTAGATATCAATGGAAAAAATATCCTTGGGTGAGGATTTAAACACACACACACACACACACACGCACACACACACACTCAACATATCCAAACTCATAATTTCTTCCTTACCCCAACCTACTCATCCCCTCTTCCCTTTCTACTGGGGGCTCAGGCCACATCTCATCCCTCTTGGTCTTTCACATCACAGATCCTCTCCTTTATCGATTTCTTTTGGCCCTGCCTTGAAATCATCTCCCAAATCGGACCATTTTCCACCAGCTCTGTTTCCATCCTCTTGTTTGTAGTCACTGCTCATCACCTCTACCACTGCAGTGGCCTCCCACTGAAAACCTGGCTTCCACTCTTTGTCCCTACAAGCTATGCTCCACAGAGCCCCCACATCATAAGTCAGACCATGCCAGGCTTCTGCCTGAAACTCATGGCTTCCTATCTTACTCAGACTAAAACCAACAGTCTTTTCAATGGTCTGTAAGACCTGGCATGATCTAGCCCCAATATACGCGGAATCTTATCTCCCGTTACTCTCTTTCTTGTTCACTGTGCTAATGCCCCAGGGGCCACTGCTTGCTGTCTCTGAAACACTTCACTCTTCCACCTCAGGGCCTTGACAACTGCTATTCTTACTGCCAAGGATACTCCTCCCCTAATATTCACCTGGTTCCCTTCCTTTCTTTAACCTGGTCTTGCTCAGCCGAAACTGGTTTGGCTCAATGGATAGAGCGTCGGCTTGGGGACTGAAAGGTCCCAGGTTCAATTCCGGTCAAGGGCATGTACTTTGGTTGCGGGCATATCCCCAGTAGGGGGTGTGCAAGAGACAGCAGATCAATGACTCTCATCGATGTTTCTAACTATCTCTCCCTTCCTCTCTGTACAAAATCAATAAAATATACATTTTAACCTGGTCTTGCTCAAATGCCATTTTTCAAGGAGGACTTCCTTGAGAATCCTTATAAAAGAGCCCCTTCTCCCCCCATGATCTCCTTACTCTGCTTCTTTCTCCTGCAGCCACATTTATCACTGGCTGACGTGCCTCTTCCACTGTTTTTTATATAATATGTTGACAGCACAGTTTTTAAGGCTATGGTGAAAAGAGAGGCTGCAGTTTCCTCTCAGATGGAAGTCAAAGAAAGGGGAGGGGTTGGTTTTCCTGTGGATTCCCTCTCTCCCCTGGTGATTTTGCCCTTAGGCTCCCTCCTTGTGGTTCTAGAATCTGGCCACACCTCTGGCCCAAGGTTTGCTTTGAGGAGCTACCTGCCTTTAAGAACATCCTTACCTCCTGCACATATTCACCTCTTTCGGATTGGCATGAGGTTTATAGTGCCGTGTCTCCCACCCCACACGTCAGGGGGCAACTTCCACTGGACCTTCTGTTCATATCAATCAACAAACCATACATTTGTCCTCAACACATAGGGAGGGTAAGATCTGGAACATGGGTGATGATTTCACAGAGGGCTGTGGGAGAGCACAGCCTGCCCAGCCCCGAGGTAGGGCCCCTGTGGAGGCAGCTGAGTGGGTGTGGCTTTGGGGCCACACACTCCCTGAGGAAGAAGGAAGGATGGGGGATTCTGATGGGTTTGTGACAGGGCTGCCCCTCACTCCTGCCCAGGCAGAGAGCTCGGAGGGCCATCTCTGCTCATGCCCTGAGCACCCTCTCTGGCAATGGGTTTCTCTCAGCCTGGCTGTGTCTGTGCCACAGGGAGTGGGTGGAAGACACACAGCTATGGATCCAGCAGGTGTCCAGCACGCCCAGCACCCGGATGGATGTGGTGCACCTTCAGGAGCAGCTGGACCTGAAGCTGCAGCAGCGGCAGGCCAGGGAGACTGGTATCTGCCCTGTCCGCAGGGAGCTCTACTCACAGTGTTTTGGTGCGTGGCCAGGGGGAAGGGTACACTACACTCTACTACCTCTTTCTCTTCTGCTTCAGCACAGCCCCAAGCTCTGAGTACCCCTGAGCTGAAGCCCACCCCATCCCTGGAATCATCTGTGCCCCACTACCTCTCTCCCTCCGGATCTGCTAAATGCTCCCTCTTCTTCCTCCCAGCCCTGCCTTTCCCACCAGTTCCTTCCCTTGCCGGTCAACCTGATAACTTGGTTCCTCACCTCTTAGCAGATATTGGAGTAAATAAGAACTTCCATTTTATAAATATATTTTATTGATTTTTTACAGAGAGGAAGGGAGAGAGATAGAGAGCTAGAAACGTCAATGAGAGAGAAACATCGACCAGCTGCCTCTTGCACACCCCCAACCGGGGATATGCCCGTAACCAATGTACATGCCCTTGACCAGAATCGAATCTGGGACCTTTCAGTCCACAGACCGACGCTCTACCACTGAGCCAAACCGGTTTTGGCAAGAACTTCCATTTTTAAATCTTTGGGGTTTTTTTTTCAAAGATTTCTATAGTAAGCATGTGTTAATTTTTTAATCAGAAAAATTAATGTGCTCTATTCATATCCACCTATCAACAGTTAGCCCTTAGTCCAGAAAACACTCAGGGTAATTTGTTGTTAACAGACAGAAGGACTTAAGTTCTCCCTTCTCAAGTGCAGGTGTGTGTCTGGCCTCTGCCCACTATCACAGGCCCACATGGACTCGGACAGGCAAACCACCTCCAAGCCCTGGGGCAGCTGCAAGGGCTACAAGCTGCCTGTAGTCTGAGTGTGATTGTGGTTTTTGGACAGCATTTATGGAGGAGATGGGTGGGCAAACTGTAGACTGTGGTGTTTCCCAGCCCCAAACCAGTCCAGCCAAGGAGACACGTGGGATTTCCCAGCTACTTTAAAGCAGCCACCATCTTCAAATAGAAAAGTTGTGTTTCTTTGAATAGTCCCCAGTTCTTGGCTGAAGATGGAAGAGAGGGGTCTCATGCTGCAAGCAAACCTGGGGCTCCTGTCTCCCTCTGCCCTGGGTTTGCCCACTGCCAAACTCCCAAGTGCCAAGTTCAGAGCAGTGGCTACATGGCAAGGCTCCTGGGACCACGGAAAGCCCCTGCCTGAGATCTGTCACCAAGTGAGGAGGACAGCATTCCAATAGGAAGGGTGGTTTGCAGTAGGCAGGTGTATTTCCCCTTCTGCCAACCTCCTCTGACCACTGTGTATGTGTGTGTGTGTGCATTGGAAGATGAGCTGATTCGTGAGGTCACCATCAACTGTGCGGAGAGGGGGCTGCTGCTGCTGCGAGTCCGGGACGAGATCCGCATGACCATCGCCGCCTACCAGACCTTGTATGAGAGCAGCGTGGCGTTTGGCATGAGGAAGGCGCTGCAGGCTGAACAGGGGAAGTCAGACATGGAGAGGAAAGTGAGTGGGGTTTGCACAAGCCTCTGGCCCTCTGGACTCCTCTGTCTCAGGGACACATGGTTGTCATTCTGGCACTAAACTCTGGTCTCTTGGGATGCTCTCCATCACTTGAGTGAGGACCCTTGGTCCAGAGTGTAAGGGTCGCTGCAGGGTTGTCTCCTCTTGGATGTGCTGTGTCAGGCACTGACCTCCCACTGGGTGGCAGTACAGACCCTGGCAATGTCTTGGGTTGGACAGCTGTGTTCCAGGGCCCCTCTACAGGGCCCTAAAGCCGCCCCATCCGCTTGACGACGTCCCAGGATGACTGGGGTTCTGTCCTCAGATTGCAGAATTGGAAACGGAAAAGAGAGACTTGGAGAGGCAAGTCAATGAGCAGAAGGCAAAGTGTGAGGCCACAGAGAAGCGGGAGAACGAGAGGAGGCAGGTGGAGGAGAAGAAGCACAATGAGGAAATTCAGTTCCTGAAGCGGACCAATCAGCAGCTGAAGGTAATCATGGCACAGACCCAGGTGGAGGTGCACGCCCACCCGCCCTCCAAGCCACATAGGCCAAGCATTTGGTTCTTTTTCCTATGGAAGACTATTGTAAAATCCTCACCGGAGGACAGTTTTTCATTGATTTTTGGAGAATGAAAGAGAGAAACCACACACACAGGGAGGGGGGGGGAACATAGATGTCTCACATGGACTTGTTGCCTCCCACATGCCTGACCGGGGCTGGGGATCAAACCTACGACCCTTCAGTCTGAGGGTCAACACTAACCACTGACCTAAACTGGCCAGGAGTAAAGAAAGCTGATTTTTTTTGGGGGGTGGGGTGGGGGTGGGGAGTGGGGAGAGTAAGGGAAGAAGAGGATTCATTACCTGGATTCCCCATTCTTCTGGTTCTGGAGGAGGCTGAGTTCTGAACACCCATGATCCCTCAGCCTGGCTCTCCAGTGCTTTTTTTCCCCTTGGAAAAGTCTTGGGAGACTTGGATATAACAAAAAGTGGAACTTCTTCCCTTAGGCAGCTGGTGATCTGGCCCTTCCTAGAGTGAGCAGAGCTCTCAGCGAGCTTCCCCAGGATTGCTTTCCCACCTGCAGTCAGTCCCCACCTAGGCCCTGCATTTGGGGCAGGCAGGGAAGGCCCTTTGAGAGGGAAGAACCATATTCTTCCTCAAAGCCCGCTTGCAGATGTATACTTTTATCCAGCTGAGCTGGAGGGAAGGGAAGGAGGGGGGCTGGTGAAGAAAAGGGCTGAGCAGGGGCCAGGCCTCTGAAACTCAAGGCTGTCTGGTCCAAAGGTTCTCAAAAACTGGGTTCCAGCCCTGACCAGTGTGGCTCAGTTGGTTGGAGCATCATCCCATACATTGAAAGGTGGTGAGTTCGATCCCTGGTCGGGTGCATATGGGAAGGCAACCGATCAGTTTCTCCCTCACATCAGTGTTTCTCTCACCCTTCCCCTTCTCTAAAATCAAGAAGAATATCCTCAAGTGAGGATTTTTAATAAAAAGGTTGGATTCCAGACCAGCATTCTCATCACAGATGATTGGGCCTACCCCCAGACCTACCAAATCAGAAACTTTGGGTTTGGGTCCAACAATCTCTTCTAACAAGGTCCCCAAGTGATTCTGATGCTGGCTTCAGCTAGAGAACCACTGTTCTGGACATATGGCTTATTGACATTTAGTGGCTGTCTCCCATGGCCCTTAGCCAGAAGGGGCCCCTGAATTTTTCTCGCTGTCCACCCTAGTCCCATAGAAATTTTACACTCTTGGGACTGGCAGGCTTGTTGGCATTACAAACCAAGACAGGCACTTGAGATAAAGAAGGGCTTGTATTAGCAGCTAGTGCTTGTGCAGGATGACACAGATTTTCTTGTTGCCGAGTTTAATAACAGAAAAGCTACATTCACTGCCAGATGTGCATGTTTACTTAGCAGCCTCTGAAGCTGCCTCCCTTATCTGCCGTCCTCCTTTATCCTAAGCCCAAGGTCCTCAGTTCCTCTATAGTAATTGGCAGCAAGAGCAAAGCAGGGCACCTTGGCATCTTTCTAACATTAACAAGCCACGCTATAATCCCCAGGGTGAAGGACTCTTTAGGAGTGAGTTATTTTTATTGGCTCAAAACGGCACTGCAAATAAAGCAGTGTTTGCAGTCCCCAGGATAGACCTACTTAAAGATCTGTCCACACACCATGATAGTAAATTATGTTACTGGCTGCCAGAGGAGCAGAGCAGTAACTCCCAAGTGTCTTCGGCTCTACATGCAAGACAGACAGCTCCCTACTCACTGGTAGCAATTTTCTCTAATTGGGTGTCAAGTTGTCTCAGTGGCTGAAAATTTGCTGTTTCCCAAACCTCTTGTCCCAGCACAGAGCTCCCAGGATCCCAAAGTTTAACTTAGCAGACATATTTAGGCCTGAAATCTGAGCCATGAAAAACCACTATTTCAACAACTTTGATTCAATTTCCTTTTCAATGCTTTATATTATGCACTGAGCCATTATTGTATGGAAACCAGCACAGCTCTGGTTTCTCCTAATGTAGCAAGACAGTATGCCAAGCCAGAAACCAGCTAATCTAGAAAATATGGAGTTGGGAATGAGGAGGTGCGGGGGGAGAGGGAGATGTGTGGAGTGGCAGCATTGGGATTATCCTTCCCAGACTTTTATCACCTCTCAGCTATTTGTTAGGCTGCAAGTTTTAAATATTAATGAAGTTTCTTTTTGCTTTGCAGGCCCAACTGGAAGGCATTATTGCACCAAAGAAGTGATAATTTCCATATGGGTCCACAAACACTACTACCCCATCATCGTAAGCCCTTTGTAATAAAAAGCTAGTTTCCTAAATGAACAAAGCCACACGCTCCACTGATCACCACCTACGTATTTGTCGGAAGTCACAGTGTCATGGAACACCTAAGTCTGGCAGCCAGGCTCCTGGCTGGGCAATGGAAGGCGGTGAGGCCCAGGCAGCCCGTCTCTAGCCAACCTTGGGATTTGCCAAGTCAAATAGTAAGACTTAGCATCCACCCCTCTCTGCTGCATCCCTCTTAGGTGAAGCAACTGCTTTCTCATCACTGATCCTAGTAGGACACAGCTGGTTTCATCCCCTTCTGGGTCCACAGTTCGTCTTACCTAACTTGGGCTCCTCTGGCCTCAATTGTTCCCTTATTTGACGTCTTTTCACCATCCTGGCTCACAGTTCTAGAAACTCATTTTGAAGGATTTATACTGTATAAATTGTCAATTGGACCCCTTCTTTAGTTTTAGACTGCCTAGGTGAGAAGATAGTGGCAAACCCATGGCTTTTAAGTAAATGTTTCCTGGAAAGAACTCAGTGTCTACGGTGAACGGCTTATACTTCACATCTTCCCCCAAAACCAATTTGTTCACTTTCCTCTGCTGAAAATCAAACCCTGGCCCTACATCCCTCTAAGTAGCTAAATTTAGTTAACAATGGGAGAGGTGCCCAAATCTACCTCCAGTCCTAATTACTGTCAGGCTGTGACCTACTGCATTTTACTATTCCTCTTAAGTTCAACTCAAAGTCTGGAGGCGCAGGACTCTTCTGGCTTTGTAGACCCAGTCTATGTAAGCGGCAAAAATCTTTTAATTCAGGCCAAACCAGGGTGGGTGAGGGCAGCAAGCTGCGTGACTTCAGCACCCTCAGCTGGAATGTTTCTCAGCACTCTATATTCCCCTGGAGATGTGAGGAGGGCTCTCGTAGTGGAGCCTGAAAAACCACTATTTCTACAACTTTGATTCAATTTCTGATCCATGAAAACTAACTGCCACCATCCTGGTAGGGTTTCCAGGCTCAGTGACTAACTGCAGACCAAGAGCTACCTTCAACTTCCAAGTCAAACGCCCCCATTTGATCCTCAAATTTGAAGGCCCAGCTTCCCCTTGTCCAGGGTCTTAGTAGTTCTAAGACTCCCTCTCTGCTCTGCATGCTGTCTTTTTCATGGGAAAGAATGCCACTCACTGAGATGTACTAGTGCCATTCCTCCTTAACAGTATAGCACGCATATCCCAACGGGACCCACCTACCAGACAATGAGGGGCAAGAGAAGCTGCGGTAGCCTTCATATTTTGAAGCTCAGGCCATGCCCACTACATCCTTGAAATTTTGTTCTTACTATTCTATTCCAATAGCTTCTGCTCCATAATGCTAAGTGCTAGGACAAAAAACCCACCCTTCCCATTCTATAGACATCATCCCTGTTTCTATTAGACATTTACGTGACAGAGCTTCTCTCTGGAGGAACCACAAGGCTGACCCCAGTGTTGGAAATGCCAATGGATTCCATTGCTGAAATTCCTGGGGCCGGGGGCTGGCACTGGTGAATGGTTTCAGCTGTCAAACCTCAGAACAAATGCCTTAGAAATGCCAACTGGGCAGGAAGAAATTGAACAGTTTCTAATGCATATTTTTGTATAATTTAATAAACAGCTTTTAAAAAGTTACTGCTTATGTTTGAATTTTTTGTGTTTGTGCTTCTGTCCCTCTGAGTCATTGGTCTTCTTTTTGTTCCTGTTCCTATTTTTCACGTTGTGTGTTTCATAGTAGCGGACACCAACTTTTCTGGGTTGTTGCTTCCGTGCTGCTCGCCTCCGCTGTAAAAAAGGGCAAAACAAAAAAGGCAAACCATTCAGATTCTGCAAATCACAAAACAGGCCCCCATTTCTCTGTGCTCCATCCTCAAGCCACCTCCACAACTACTTCCGTGTTTCCCCGAAAATAAGACATCCTCCGAAAATAAGACCTAGCACATGGAAAGATAAGACATCCCCTGAAAATAAGACCTAGCGCAACTTTGGGAGAAAAAATTAATATAAGACACTGTCTTATTTTCGGGGAAACAGGGTAGAAGCAGTCAGTGCTAACGAAGGAGGGTCCATCTCCCAGACAAAGTTTGTGCTTCCACTGTGATTCGTGACAAATCCAAGTTACAGACTCAATGGGCCCAGCCCTCATCCAACGTTTAGATCTGTTCTATTGCACTTCTGACAAGCTCTCCACCTCCCACGAGGGCTCATTCCAGCTCTGAAGAGCCCAGTTACAGAGCTAACTTTACAGGGAGCAGAGATCCGTCTGCCTAGTAACAGCTCTGCTCACTGTGTCATTTCCACGGGGCCACATAAAACCAACTGATGCTTCCAGATGATAGGCTACGTTTGAGGACAAGATCTTCATCTACTGGGCCAACTTTTGATCCTATTAACTGTCTTCAACTCTATCACTTGGGACTGGGGTTCCTTGAACTCAACTCTAGGCCACTAGTTTCAGAAAGAGTTCCCCGTAAGAACAAGCTCCTCCTCTCTACTTTCTATACCTGGGTGATGCTTAAGATAAAAAAACACATACTTCCTTAGATGTCAGCGTCTTTCGAGATTTATTTGAATGTTCCTCTTCCCTCTGTGCCTTCCTCTTCTTTCCCTTTTTGGCAGGTGCTATAAACATTGAATACACACATACAAGTTACAAATGTGCCTATGAATCCTAAGATGGAAAGGAACTTGAAGCGCTGGAAGAAGGAAAAAGCCAGAGTGAATGAGTATGGCCAGCAAAGTGCAGAGTGAAGCAGGATGAGAAGAGGAGGGCATCAGGCCAGAAGGGACACCCCACAGGCTTTGGCAAGGTGTGCATCCATGTCATGAAAACACACTCTTGATTTAGAAACTGTTAGTCCAATGCAATAAAAAATGCATGAACCACCTTGCCCACCACAAAAATAAAGTCTGCCTGCAGACCCACCCTTAAACTGTAAGGCTAACCATGTACCCTGTTAAAGAGGGTTTCCTGAATTATCAATTTAATCCTAAGAAATATGCAGAATGAAAACCAGATAATCCCATTTGTATTATAGATTGTGAAACCAAGGTAATTTGCCAGATATAAATAATTGTGTGGAAGTGATCATTTGAGATTTAGAGATAATTTGAAGATTTAGTTTGGATTTCCTAAAGATGCCAATCAAGAGATAATTTAGCCCTGGTCGGTTTGGCTCACTAGATAGAGCGTGGGCCTAGGGACTGAAGGGTCCCAGGTTCGATTCAGGACAAAGGCATGTACCTTGGTTGCAGGCGCATCCCCAGTAGGGGATGTGCAGGAGGCAGCTGATAGATGTTTCTAACTCTATCCCTCTTCTTTCCTCTCTGTAAAAAAAAAATCAATAAAATATATATATAAAAAAAGATAATTTGTTTAGCTTGAATGTCCTGAAGATACCAATCACATTTAAATGATTTAATAATTTAACTCTACCTGTATCTTCCACATCTTCTTCAGCTGTTTTTTGCTCTTCAGATTTTGCAAAAACCATTTCACTTAGTCCCTTGGATATTCTGAAACAGAAAAGCAAAATGATGAAACTGTTGGATGTTCCCCTCCACAGCTCAAGCCACGTGCTGACTTGAGACAGACTTACAGGTTAAGACAACCCACTCGTATTCAGTTACCACCACTGGTAGGTAGAAGGCAACACTTCAGTTTTGCAACTCCCTGAGCATTTCTAAAAAAAATATTGAAGCTTCTCATATTTTAGGGAGCTCAATTTTGAAAATCTAACAGACAACTTTAAAACTGTGCGCAATACCCCCTAACTCCCCATCCCCATAAACATATCTCTAGTGCTCATGGCAAGCTTCTTGAAAAGAAAAGAGCAGTCTGCAATTTGTGAGATGAAAATACCTGACTGCTGAGAACTTTTTCGCTTTGGCTTTGTTTAAAAACTTCTGATATTTAGCGATCTTTTCATCCAGGGCTTTAATCACTGCCTTGGTGTCATTTTCCTGGTGTTCTTCCCGGGACTCTGAACACTCTTCCTCCTCGCCGCCCTGTTGCTCCTGTTCCTCCTCCTCCTCCTCTACAGAGCTCTCTAGCTCCTCATCTATATCTGACATCTCCAAAGGAACCAGGTCATCCCCAGAGAATTCAGGTACGACGTTGATTTTGCCGAAGTTCTGCCGAACCCGCGCAAGGATCTGCTGCATCTCTGAGCTGGCATCACAGGGACTGTTCACTCCTTTTTCCTCCTCGAAGACAGATTCTGACGCTTCACCTACAGTTTCTGTGATGTCCTCTTCTGGGTTGTTCTGGGTTGTTTCAGTGGCAGTTTCCAAAGATGATGACGATGGAAGCTATTCAGCCAAAGGGTGGGGGAGAGAAATGAGAAAAGAAAAATGGAATTTCTGAATTTATACCTTGCTCTCAAATGAGGTATTCTTCTTCTTAGGACTAAGGGGGAGTGTGAAGAACACCCAAATTTGTGTCATATCCCTATCTATAATAAAAAAATATGCTAATTAGACAGGATGTCATTCCTTCCAGACAAAGCCAGTGTGGGGGCTGAGGCAGAGGCATCACAGGCCACCGGCCACAGTGGTGACTGGTGGGGGCCAGGACAAAGGCCCTTGCACGAATTTCGTGCACCAGGCTTCTAGTCTATTATAAACCAATGTGCAGTAAACTCAGAACCCAGCAATAAAGATTAAAGAATTATATTTGCAGTTCCAGAGGAAGAACCCACTGTAAAAGTATTTAATCATTACAACCAAATACCTACTTAATGCTGGGTAAGATTCCCTACAACTTCTCTGAGGATTGTAAGAAATGGATGTTGTAGAGAGAAGTACACACAACTACCTAAGAATGAAAGCAGCATTAGTTTAGGAAGTGACCAGTGCTAAAGAGAGGCACTGGGGAGACATCTATTATAGAAGGAAGGCATAAGATGAGTTCAGAAGGAGCAGGAATATGAAAATGAGCCTATTCAGATACTGATGAAAAGAGATGTACCAGACTTTATACTGATGCTTCTCAGATGCAATATATTATTCCAAGAGGTGGGTCCACCCTGTACTCACCTGGGGGGCTGTAGAGGGCTCTTCAGGGGGGTCTGCATTGGGTGGCTTGACAAAGAAAGGAATGCGGCCCCTTTGCCAGTCATTGAGAACCATCTTGCCCACAGTCTGCAAGTCAGGCTCGCCGCCCTGAAACATCGTAGAAAGACTCCCAATTAAATTCGAAGACCAAAACCAGCACCCAGTTTGGAGGCACATCAGCAGTTGCTCATTACCGCCATCTACTTGCCATCAGGTTACCAGCTGCTCACACCTCCCTGACAAAGGAAGAACCACATCACACTGCCTGCAGAAGTCCCCGTCTGAAATCTCACAAACCCCGGCTCACCTTTAATAATTTCCCTGTCCGGAAAGCTAGCTTCTCAAGAAAGTCCTCGGCATTCTCCCAAGAATCAATCTTGTACGTCTTGCTGATATACTCTGGTTTTGCTCGTTCGAGTACAGCACCAATGTGGTCTTCGGGAGCCTTAATCTTTTCAACTTGAACCTAGATGTTAATAGGAAAGCTCTTGCTTACAAACCTTATTATGGAGCAGGAAGCTCACAGTACTGTTTGTAATAATACCCAAAAACAGATTTCAAACCACATAGCCAGTGGGTCTTGGCAGGAGCCTGTCTCTGAGGTGGCTGGACGTGGTGGGCCAGAAGGAGCGCCACCGAAAGTCGGCCACAGCCACGGAGCCCAGGACTCAGCTCTAATCCCAGTTCACCACAAACTAACTGAGAGGCTTCCACAAACAGTTTAAACTTGGAATGCTTCATGCTACTCATTGGCAGAAATGGTTAAAAGCCTGCCAATCCCATCACACAAGGAGAACGGAGTAGCTTGAAAGAGGAGGGGAGGAAGGTGCACAGGATGTATAGCCAGCAGCACTGGTTAAGGTTAAGCGGAACCAGTTAAAGTTTCCGATTGTATTCAGAAACAAGTGAGGAAATGACTGAGTTCCAAAATGACTCAACCCGTAAACCCACAAGGATGAATTATCACTAAACATAAACAGGCCTTGCTTCCCTTTGGATCCTCTGTTTTGTGGGATGACATTAAGCAGATATGCTCATGGTTCCACTAACTCCTCAAACAGGCTTAAGGGGAATGGAGAGGGTGCCCTGTTCAGCATCATGTTCCTAAAGTTTGGTAAGACAGCTTGACCCCAAACTGTCTTCCAAAGGAGTGAAAAGCCAAGGTACCAGTGTCCCTCACAGAACATTTCCCCCTGAAGGCAAACCAAGAGTCTGCAAGGACCAGGACCAGAGTACTTACAACTCCTTTCAGCACAATGTCTGTCTCTGAGTCCTCAGAGGGGTAAACCACGCCAGGACAGTCAATAAGGAATATCCGACGCATCAAGGTAATATATTGCCAGACCTGAGACAAAAAAAAAAAAGCCAGAGATTTCCCAAGTCAAACACTAGGGAGTCTAATTTCACAAACCCCTGATGCTCATGAAGGGGCTCAGGAGGGGAAAGAGTCAAAAGAAGCCACCTGCTGAGTAACGAAGCTAGAAAGTCTCTCCTCTACGTGTGCCATGCACGAGGCACTTCATGAAGTATAAACTACAGTTCCCATCAGCTAAGGATCTAAAAATAATGCAGAGGCAGGATCCTCATCTAGTGTTGTGCAATAACATCTAGTAAACCTCTCTCTGATTTTATAAGTACTCTTGGGAGCTTAATACTGTTTGGATTCTCTTCCTTTCAGCAGAAGTATGCTGCCCCCAAATATTCTGTGTTCCAGGGTATGACCCCCAAAAGCCAACAACTACCCTAAGTTTGAGCTTTCTTTCTTAACCCATTGGATATTCCTGAGTTTGCTTTGTGTATTGAAGTAAAAGGTTGCAGTGACAATTTAAAACAGACGTAAATATGAACAGCACTTACCAATGCCAAAGTCTCATAATAGCATACAAAATACTCTTAGTCTTATCAAAATGGGCAGAAACCTCTCAGCACATTTCAAACTATTATGTTGAGACTAGCCCTTCAATAGTAGTCTTCATTCAAGAGCAGCAATAGAAATCTCCATGATCTACATAATCACCCTCCATGGAGATAAAATTCTTGGAAGTAAATAAGACCCCCCTCAAACCAGACGTACCTTTGTTTCACCTGCAATGGGGGCCACGTTACACACTTTCTTGGAGCGTAATGTATTTATCACAGAGCTCTTGCCAACATTTGGATAGCCAATGAACCCGACACTGATCTGTTTCTTGTCAGTATGCAACTGTTCAAAAAAAGAATACACACTACATAAGCGCAGTCATGAAAATCCCTTTGGACAAACAGGTTGTATCACTTTGCTAATATAAAAAATATTGTGTGAAACTGTTGCTAGAATTTTATTTAAAGCATAGACACACACCACCTACGTAGTCTGAGCAGGCTGGATACATATGGTTATTAATCAATCAGAGGTGAGTCATTTCCTCAATCATCCATGTGAAATTATTCTTGAATGTTTTAAGGTTAAAAGTATGTAGGTCAAGAAACAAAGGAAGAAACAGTTTGTTAGTCATCAATTTAGAAGAACACCAACCACTGATAAAATGTCTTCGGGGCCGAAACCGGTTTGGCTCAATGGGTAGAGCGTCGGCTTGGGGACTGAAAGGTCCTGGGTTCGGTTCCGGTCAAGGGCATGTACCTTGGTTGCCCTTGGTCAAGGGCATGTACCTCTTACACATCCCCAGTAGGGGGTGTGTAAGAGGCAGCTGATCGATGACTCTCTCTCATCATCGATGTTTCTAACTCTATCTCTCTCCCTTCCTCTCTGTACAAAAGCAATAAAATATATTTAAAAAAAAAAATGTCTTCAGGGAAGAGAACCTTAGCAGATGTACCAACTGCCAACCCCAGACTCATCCTTTTTCTCTGCACAATACATTTTGTGTTTTCATTGCCAAAAGAAATGAAAGAGGCAGAGCTCAAGAAGAGGGTCTACAAATGGACTCTGACTAAAGGTGGCACAGTAAACATCTATGACTACCTCACTGCTTCCCCCAACTCTCCCAGAATGACAGCAGTGGGAATGAGTACCATAGAACCAAACATTTAAAACCAAAAAATGAGCTGGAGACAATAAACACTAACATGTGATATTAACAAAACACTAGTAGCCAAAAAGTAGTATCTAACTTGGCCCAAAATGAAAACTAAGTGACTACAAAGGAAGAAAAACTAAAAATCCAGCAAAAATAGTGTCCATGAATCGCAAAAAATGTCAGAAATTAGTAATGCAGATGGCTTTGAGGGCTGGACTAGTGGAAAGTTTGTAAAAACAGTCACTTCTCCACCCCCGCCCTCACTTATCCTGGGGACAAAACTTCCCTAAACCCAAGCCTTAGGGACAGTGATATTTTTGAAACCCTGCATATCTGAAAAGACCTTTAATTTTCAGACCTGAAAGGGACCCTAGATTTAGAGTTAACAGTGGCTGAAAGCAAGTGTTCCCTAAATGATTAACTGTAAACTTAGTGAATAGTAAGACCCTCAGGCTTTTACTTTTATCGAGTTCCCAGAACCTTGGGCAGGCTTATCCACCCCTGAGCTGGAGATCAAAGACTTCTTTCTGGGGGAACTCACAGGCTCAAGAGTAAAGACTCATATACACTGACATCTAGGGTGTCCTTCAACAAAATATTGGGTTTCTATCCAGTTACCCTACAGTGAAATCTATCATTCAACACCTCCCACCTCCAACAAAACTACATCAGCTTTTTGTAGTGGCTCTCTCTTAAATATGAATGGAGAGCCAAGGATAACCAAACCTTTGAAGTGTGAGTATAGCAGAAAAGACAGAAAAACACACAAAGAAACTGGATGAAACAGAGTCAGTGTAAGAGAGAAAAATTTCAAAACGCCACTATCATTCTCAGAGACAGATGATATTCCATCTGTGAAAAAAAAAAAATAGGTTGTAAAAGGGGGCAGGACAATTCAGAGTTAAACAAGAGGTCTCAGGAATTAAAAGTGAGAGGTAAAATTAATCTTGCAATAAAACAGGTAGGTGATCAATTCAAAAACTGCCAAGAAAATAGAGCAATATGTCATAAATGTCTGAAATAAAGATAAAAAATCCAAGAATTAAACCAGGAGATAAAACCACATTCCTGAATGAGAACAGAGGTGAATTGGGGGGGTGGGGGGGAGGTGAGGATGGGGATTTCAAAAAATAACATAGGACAATATCAGACTGAAAGTCCCATCCAATGTGTGGCTCACTGAATAATAAAAGAGCCATCTTAAAGCACATCACTATGAAATTTTGGAACAGAAATTTTAAAAAAATTCCAGCCACAAAGGATCAGGAGTCAGAATGACCTGATTTCTCCACAGACATGTCAGAAGACAATGCAGCAGTACCCTAGACTGCTGGGGAGAAATGCTGTAAGGGAAAGATACTTCTAGAATGCAAGGTCTCAAAAAATGTTCTTCTAAACACTGCTATTCAAAAGTAAACCAAGAAAGAAAAGGGATCAATGCATAAGGGACCCCACACAAGAAACAGCAGACAGTGGTGAAAGGCAAGTCCGGAATATCCTGCATCAGGCCGGGAGCAGCCGGAGTCCCTGGGAGGGAGGTGCCTGCTAATCATAGGAGGTCCCACCCCACCAGGGAATCTGCTGGGCCATTAGTGACATATAAAATAGAGCAAGTTAACATCAGAGAAAACAGAAGGTTTGATTAGAAAGCAATTATAATCACAGCACTATGTGGATCATCTGCAACTGATATTTTACAGTCATGATGCAAACACTGAATTTAGCCAACATATAACGATATAGGAAGAACAGAGGGAGGGTAAGTATGCGTGCAGGGAAGGTGTAAGAAACCTAATTCTCATTTTCCATCATAGGAACTAAATATCTAAAACTGTGGAGGTGAGGGGAAGGGGAATCAAGAAATAGACTTCTAAGCATGTGTTCAAATATGGAAGGGTAGGACAGAGAACATGTGTCTTTTGTGAGAAGCCCAGGTAAAATTAATTAAATACACAAAATTGCAAGTACAAAATATGAAGCGTGGAGAACATTTGTTAGGGTGATCCGATGGGGTTTCAGGGCTTCCCTGAGGAACTGACATCTGACCAGGCAGGATGCCTCCCAGGCAGAGGGGACAGAAACAGCTCAGGCCCTGAGGGCAGAGGGAGCACGGCAGGCCTTGAAAGCCGGGCAGGGAACAGAGTGTGAGCTCAGGGGTCCATCATCAAGTAGAGGAGCGTTTTTCAACCGCTGTTCCGCAGCACACTAGTGTGCCGCGAGATGTTGCCTGGTGTGCCGTAGGTGCAGAAAAGACAAGAATTTTATAATTTTTCACTATTTTGTTTACTTAATATTTCATAATAAATTATAAAATACTTTCTTTGTGTTTATTTGATTCCTATTCAAGAGAATTACTTTATATATAGTCAATATAGGCACAGAGTTAAATTTTTTAACATTTTCTAATGGTGGTGTGCCTCGTGATTTTTTTCATGAAACAAGTGTGCCTTTGCCCAAAAAAGGTTGAAAAACACTGAAGTAGAGGTTGGGCCATAAAATGCAGAGAGATGGCAGAAAGGAAGCAGAGATATGGCAGAAGGGAAGCAATGCTGGTCAGGGTGGGAGCCATGGTTGACCTAGAAAGCATTTCAGATCCCCTAATAATCATGAGGCTCTATGGGTTTTTTTTACATCACTAGAATACACGTTTCTCATTACAAAGAAGATGTAGGAAGTGAGGAGTGTAACTTTCTCACAGACTGGCAAGAGAAACTATTAACACAAACCCACAGCTTCACAACTGGAGAAACAGATCAGGTCTGAATACCTTTCCAAACTGCCGTAGAAGCTGAATAAATGCTCCTTTTCCAAAGGGGTTAGTAAGACTTGCATGGAAAGCAAGTGTTGGATAATCCTGGGAGAGGACAGCAACCCATCGTTTCTAAGGAGGGAAAAGAAAAAGATGCTGGTAAATTGTAATTTGTTTATTTACAATACAGGAAGAATCAGAGCTTGAATTGCAGAATTGTATTTCAAAAATACACAGCTGTCTATGGAAAATGTTAGCTATAATTCTTTGAAATGTTTTTTTTCAAGTATGACAGTTAATGCTTTGTTTTTTGTCTCCTAAATACAAAACAATATTCCAAAAATGCCCTCACTGCTACTAAATGCAATTAATGTGACATGATGTGAACAGGCCAGTGGCTGTGGCAGCCGCCTCCCTCTGAAGCTGCCCCACTACCAACCATCAGAGGAGAAGCAGTAAAGCTGTCCAATCAGTGAAGCCTGTTTCAGTTCTGTTTTCAATGAGAACGCTTCAATGACTATTATCGCAAGAGTTCCACACTTGCCCCAAGTCCTAGAAACCACAAAACTAATAATTTATAGACACTCAAGGCTTACACGAGTTGAGTAGCTGGGAAGTCTGTTTTGCATTAGCAGCTGTACTTACTGTTGCCCAGGTTGGAACAAGGTCACATTTGTTAAGAACAAATATGAGGTGTTTCCAGGGCTTTTCCTTTTTCAAGTAAGTCTCGATGTGAGGGGAACGGGTACCCATTGGATCTCTAGCATCAAGAACTTGAACAACGACATCTGATGAATCTATCACCTGCAAATTCATAGAGGTGAAAATGATTTGTTAACGTACAGGGGCAAATGAACAAGAGCTAACATTTAAGAGAACGTGGGGTGGGGAAAATAAAACGACAGCAATCTTATGAGAGTTGAATCTAGACAATCTCAATGCTCAGTGATCAGAATCCCAAAGTTTTTTTTTCATCCTGGGTGTTTGAAACTTGTCAAATTTCAAATAGGAAAACTAGTTAAATGAAATCCATCTTATTTCATGACTACTATTCATTACTGAACAGAATCATTTACTTCTTAAGACTTCTAAAAGTTTCTACTGCTATAGATTTTGTATATTTTACAAAAAACTAAAACGCTTAGTTTGCTCTCATTATACTATTACCTATTATGTTATCGTTTAATGATGCAACTATGCGTGAAGGCCTTTGTTACTGAAATGTTACTAGTGTGAAGATAAAACTCAGCCAGCTGTAAGGCACTGGGCCAGGACTCAGGACACACAGATTTCACTAACCAGCTGGTGAGCTGGGTAAGGTATTCAACCTACATAGATTTGGGTTATATGAAATAAAAGGCCTGGACTAAATAGCTTAAAAATTCTCACACAGACTGGTAAATCTAAACAGGACTATCATTTCAGTAGGTAACCCAAAGAAATATTGACAGAATATATGAATGTATATAAGGTACTACTATACAAGTAATAAAAATGCAATTATTTAGACCGATGATAGTATGTTCACAGCTATATCGATCCTAGTTTCTCTGTTGGAGAAAGAGAATGGACTAGGTAGGAGAGCCTGCACTTTATCTGACAGTTCCAATACATCAAAATCAGTTTCTCATATAAGACTGTAAAGCCAAACGGACCACTCAATGAGAGAAAGTTTAAAGTCTTACCTTGTAGAGCTCACCCCATATTCTTTTGGACTGTCCCTTTTTATAGATCTCTTCTTGGGCTTCATTTCTAAAGAAGAAAGCACCCAAAGTGAGCAACTGGAAACTGAAGAGTAAAAGGATTTTTGGGGGAAAGACATCCATATTCCAAAGGAAAAGAGTGTCACAAGTAGTTGCAGATGGACTGAAAAAACACTTAATTTTACAAAAAAAAAACACACCTTAATTTTAATTTTTTTAAAGATTTTTTTTTTTTTTTTTTTTTTGAGAGAGAGGAAGGGAGAGGGATAGAGTGATAGAAACATTGGTGAGAGAAAAACATCAATTGGCTGCTTCCTGCATGCCTCCCACATGGGATCAAGCCCACAACCCGGGCATGTGTTCTGGCCGGGAATTGAAACGGTGGCCTCTTGGTTCCTGACTTGATGCTCAACTTCTGAGCTACACTGGCCAGGCAAACTAAACTTTAATTTTAAAAGTGACTCTAGCCATAACCAGTTTGGCTCAGTGGATAGAGCGTCAGCCTGCAGATTGAAGGGTCCCAGGTTCGATTCCAGTCAAGGGCATGTACCTTGGTTGCAGGAATATCCCCAGTAGGGGGTGTGCAGGAGGCAGCTGATCAATGTTTCTCTCATTGATGTTTGTAACTCTCTATCCCTCCCCCTTCCTCTCTGTAAAAAAAAATCAATGAAATATATTTTAAGAAATAATAATAAATAAACATCGATGAGAGAGAAACATCGACCAGCTGCCTCCTGCACAGCCCCCACCAGGGATCTGCCGGCAACCAATGTACATACCCTTGATCAGAATCGAATCTGGGACCTTTCAGTCCTAAGGCCGATGCTCTATCCACTGAGCCAAACCAGTTTCGGCCATAATAAAAAAAATTCTAAAGCACGTGTAATCAGGCAATATATCGGAGAATTATGAAAAGGAATTGGCAGGACATGAACCATAACCTATGCTCTATCACTCCTATGTAAAGTGAACTTTTTCTGATTAGGTTAAGAATCTGTTTATTTACTAGCTTCAATGGCTTTGAAACAAAAAATGGTTTTGTTTCAGCACCCCCCCCCCCATTACCTACTGTACCTTTTGGGGGAAGAAAATAATTCAAATCATCAGAACACAGTCAATTAAAAAGCCCAAACAATTATAAGAATGAATGAACTTGCTGCCTCTCTTTGCTAGTCCTCAAATGGCTTGACATTATCTCTGGGAGGCCCCCAGCTTGGCACGGGCTACCAGCAGCACTGATGTGGCAGCATTACTGCGCTCCAGGGACACCACCTCTTCGCTGAGGCACTTAAGACATGAGAGCCCTGGCTGGGTAGCTCAGTTGGCTAGAGCATCGTTCCGGTATGCCAAAGTTACCAGCTCTCTCCCTGGTCAGGGCACACATAAGAAACAACCAATGAATGCATAAATAAGTGGAACAAATCTCTCTCCCCCTTTCTCTAAAAATCAATAATAATAAAAAAAAAAAGAAGACTCAAGAGGAAGAATGGGGACTATCCGGCACTGCCCGAGAAAACTAAACTGGTGACCCCTTTCTGGAGGGCAATGTTTCAACCAGTTATCAATGAAGACACAGTAACCTTCACCATAAGAGTTTACCTCTGAGGAATAATTAAAGACGAGAAAGGTTTGGTCACACGGATTTTGTACTCTCATGATAAACAGTGTAAATGTCCAACAGTGGAACTGGCCACAACAAAGCACTATTCTGATATTAAATATTACATTGCTGTAAGGACTGACATGAAAACATACTCTGAACCATTTGAAGAAATGTATTAAAAGGCAAGTTAAAGTAGTCTTAGGATATTATATTCACAAATAAAAATTAAGTGTAAGAAAGACCTAGAAGAAAATAAGTATTGGTGACTGATTCTTAACCTTCTTTGGGATATGGAATCCCTATGAGAATATGTTAAATGTATGAACCTTTTGTCTCCTCGAACCTCCCCAAAATAATACAAAACAAAAATAGAAATCTCACCACATAAATCCTCAGAGGGTCATAGAAACCTCAAAGGCCACTCATGAATCCCCAGTGGTCCAGACTACTGGTTAAGGAAACCCTGATCTTACAACACTTAACAGAGGCTGGCATTATGAATTCTTATTTTTTGCTGCATTTCAACCTTAACTATACTTCCTAATTTGTCCATGATAGACTATACTGGTCTTAAAATGAAGATGAAAATGTTACTTATTTTTACTTTGGGGACGAAGAGACCTGTAGTAAACAAGCCCTCTTAAATTATTCAGTGTGGCCTCAATTTCACGATATTTTCTAGTCTAAGGGAAGAGGATAACTCTCCACCTATGAGTTAAATCACGAGCTTCGCACAGGCAGAAGAAGTGTAGAGAAAATGTTTTGTTGCAGAAGAGCAAATGATGACACTTATGTGAACTTCAAAACTGTACCTCACACCTGTGTCTTCAGTCACTAAGTCGCGATCCTTGCCCTGGTCATAGCTCCCAGTGGACATTTCTGCATTTGCTACGAGAGACTGCATGTCACTGGCAGGTAAATTTGGTCGCTTCCTCTGAGACTTAGGGCCAAATGTAGTTTCAAAGCTTTCAGTATCGAGAATGTGCACCTTTGAGTTCTAAAAAGAAAGAATTATTGGTAAAACTAAGGAAAGTAGTAAAATAAAGTAAAAATATTAAAAACCTACCTAGGAAAGGCGTTCTGCTTTTATTATCAAAAAGCTCAAACCACACCAAAATCAACATGGATGCAGCCCGATTTCAAATCAAAGGCAAAGCTTATTTAAATAGCAAAGGCACTTGCTCCTCTACTCTGAAGTTCCGAAACTTCCTTGGAGATATACAAAAGTAATACAAATAGTCAAAGCAAAAAAAGGTCAAAGCAAATATGAATAGTTGTGCAAGACCTGCCAAAAACTCTGCTTTATTTCGTCTATCATAAACTTTAGTCAAATGTAATTAAGGCTAAAATACTGAAAATTAACTTATCTTTTCTGACTTTTTTTTTTTTAGCTTTCAAACAAGTGAATAAAATATGCCAAATTCATAGATTTTGTCAGGGTCAATCATACTTAAATTTGTGTGTTTTTTTAAACCAAGTGTAAATGCCAACTTTTTCTTGGAAGTTCATTTCTTTCATGGCTAAAAGGAACTGCTTGTTTTGTAAGATGCATTTTAGTTTCAGATAACATTTTCCCTAATTTAGGTAACGTTTTTATTAAATGCACATGGAAAGCCTTCAGATGAAAAACATCTAGCAAAAGTCCAAAATAATAGTTTAGATGTGATAAAAGGAACCTGATACTAACTAGAACTTGATGTGACTGTAAAGGAGTCACCGGCATAGGAATTTTTGAAGCCAGATAAAAGTCAAAGTTTGAGTTAGCGTCTATCACGTAACAGAATGTTAACAGCCGGCAGATGATATTCTCAAAAAAAACACACACACACAAAAAACCCCCACCCTCTGCCCCTCAGTACAAGCTCCTCTATAAGCACAGCTACTAACACAGATGAAGGAACAACCCAGTGGCTTCTGAACTTTAACAGATCCTCTCTCCACCTTCTAAAGACCTTAAGCTGTTATCATTTTCTCAAATCCTCTAACACAGCTTAGTTCAGTTTTACTTGCTACCTTCCAACAAGGGAACATCTCCAAACATGGGAAGTAGGTTCTAATGTCCCTGGGGAAACGATGATCAAAATTATCACTAAAAATCTCTTAAATAGTACACATGGACTTGTGTGTATAAATCTACACAATAGTAAAACAGTAATATGTGGTACATAAGGAAGTACACACAAAGTATTTTTAATATGCTACAGAAATATAATTATAATGCATATTTAGCTAATTGTGCAAAAGTGAAAACCATATGTGATCTGACTACACTCTGCAGCAATCTCTAAATTAGATTTTATAGCATGTAGTAGCTAACATAAAAGAGGTATGGTTTCGCCCTGGCCAGTGTGGCTCAATGAATATAGCGTTGGCCTGTGGACCAGAGTCCTGGGTTCAATTCTGGTCAAGGGCACGTACCTCAGTTGCAGGCTCCTCCCAGGCCTGGGCCCTGGTTGGGGTGCATGCAGGAGGCAACCAATCGATGTGTCTCTCTCACATTAATGTTTCTCTCTGTCTCTCTCTCTTCCACTCTCCCTAAAAATCAATGGAAAGATATCCTCGGGTGAGGATTAACAAAGAAAACAACAGCAAAAAAAAAAAAAAAAGGGGTGTGTGTGTGTAATGGTTTTTTGAGACCAAAGCAGAAACTTATCAATTGCTCTGAGGTTTCTTGAAACCAAAGCAGAAACTCATCAATTGCTCTGAATGCCTATCTGCATCAAGATGCAAGCTGACTGCTCTGGCTGCAGAGCCTTCATTCTTCAGCTCAGATAGTTAAGCACTGGATTTTGAAAGCACTGAAAGACTGGAATGGGCAACAAATCAGTAAATCCATAATAGAACCTCTCTGTTCTTCCCATAAACAGGATTCAATAGTTTGTTGAAAGATGGCTTTAGGGAGAACAGACAAAGGGAACAAGGGAAATGAGCAACTTGTCTGTGGTTCATGAATTACACTCATGTGTTTCCCTGAAAGAAAACAGTCATTCCCCTAATAGGTGCCATTCTTCCAGTCTGTCATAAAACAAAGCATAATTGATAAAACCTGAGGCAATAACCAGGCCTCGGTTTTTATTTTGTTCTGCAAGTAAACACTTTTCTTTGAACTGTTAATCCATGTATGCATGTCAATGTTTTCTTTCCCTCCTTATACTGGAACTGAAGCTTATGCACTGGCTCTGTTTCTGGGAATTATTATTCAATGTAAGTAAAAACGTGCAGGAAAACATTAGGCCACTTTTTGGATTCTGTGTGGAACTCATTACACTCAAGCCAGATTCAGCTCTTACTGTACTTTGAACTTTAATGATTAACAATCAATCTAACCAGTATCCTTTCCTGCAGCTCAAAAGAATCTCCAAGGATCTTACAAAAGAAAAGCAAGTACGCACCACCAAAACTCTCCCTCCTAACAACCCCATCCTAATTCTACATTTCCCCAGAGTTTGATGGAATTGTCACTTAAACAAGTTTGCCTACAAAAAAAAAAACCCAAAAAACAACACACACACGTTTAAAACAGTATTAGTGATAGCTCTGATCATGTGGCGGGCTGTGTGCTCACTATGTGCCAGGAGTTTTACTGACGTCTCAGCTGCATCCAGGCACCCGAGAAGAGGGGTTATCTTGATTTTACAGCTGGGGAAGTGAAAGCTCGGGGAAATGTAATGGAAGGCCATAGAAAGGGGTAGCGCAAAGATAAAACCCAGATCTCACTCCAAAGCCGGAGCTTTGATCAGCATACTACTGAACCTCCTTGACAGAATGCGATTCAGAAAGCTCACCAATTCTACATTAAAGTCACTATTCTCTATAGACAAAACAATAGACAGATATGGTAGAGAATCTGCATGGCTCTGCCAATGAAATTCCATTGCCAGGGATATCTCCATCTTACATGAGGCTGGATTCGATCATGCAGAAGAGACATAGGTAACTTGCTCTGCTTCATGACAACTTTGTAAGGATCCTTCATAACTGTATCCATTTCCTCTTGAAATTTCTGTAACGATGACTGCTTAATCACACGTGTGTTTCCTGTTTTACAAAAGAATGTTGCCATTTACTAAATAACTTCTTTTTGCTTTTGCATCCATCTTCCCAATGACAGAGTGAAAGGCAAGATTTTATATTACCCTCGCTCACCAAAACACTTAATACATTCATCCATGCAGTCATTTTTAAAACTTAAGAGGAAAAAGCCCTATCCAGTGAGGCTTAGGGGTTTACTGTCCGCCCACACACCAAAGGGTCATGGTTTCAATTCCCAGACCTGGGTTGTAGGTTCAATCCCTGGTTCCAGTGGGGGCACATGAAGGAGGCAATCAACCAATGTGTCTGTCTCACATTGATGTTTCTCTCTCCCCACCCTCTTCCACTCTCTAAAGATCAATAGGAAAAATATCCTCAGGAAGGATTAACAAAAAAAGAGGAAACAACAACAAAAACTTCCTCTTCTGCACTCATTACACTATGAACTAATCCACCAACCCAGACACATAAAGGATTTCAATAGATTTCCAAGTCCAATTTCCTGACTGGGTGAAACTGAAAAACAAACCTCACTGAATGGAACTCAGATTTGACAAATGTCCTATTTCCTGTTAGATCTGACAAAGAAATTTGGAGCCAATCACAGCTGCTTGGTTAGAATATACAAGGAATCCCAAAGCACAGAACCCTAGGAGTCAGTTGCTGTTTTTAGGGTTTGAAGGGACTAGTAAATGAACCAATAAATCACTGTAAGAGAATAAAATAAAGGTATATAACACCAGCTGGAGAACACCTTGTAAGTGAGAGATCTCAAAGAATATATTCAATTAAGCAGTATGGTGCAGCACAACACAAAACCGAAGATGTTGATTATGACAGTGAAATGCTGATGTGATAGTGGTTCATGCATATACAATATATGTATGTATGTATGTGTGTGTGTGTATATATTATATATATATATATATATATATATATATATATATATATATAGTATATATTATACTTACAGATAGTTAGGCACTATTCTCAGCCCTTGACTCATTTAATTACCACTAAAAATGGGTACCTTTTTTATCTTCACTTTAGATATGAGGAAACTGATGACCAGACAGACTTAATAACGTGTCCAGTCAGAAATGATAGCATCCAGAGAATTCTAGCCAGGTGATCTGGATCTAGAGTCACAGTATCCAGCCACCATGCTGAAGGCCTCTTTATGGAGTTTCTTTGATCCTTTTCTATGTTGCCGTTTCCTAGGGGAATCCCATCTGAAGGTGTTAGAGATATTCAAAGATAGCTGCCATCAGCCTCCAAGCAGAGAGGTCAAACACGAGACTGACAAAGGGGTCCAGTCACCTGCAGGCACACACACCTGGCAGTGGCTAAGGGAAAGCCTGAGAGCCCAGGCTGAAAGGAAGGTGAACTTTCCAAAGGAAGCCTGAGCTTCTGTGACTCTGCAGATACTCCAGTCACTCCTGGGAAGAACCAACGTGGCCACTCAGTTCAACTACAGCCCCATTACAGACAAAGTGTTTCAGAGGAACTTCAAGCTAACGCATTCACTCTGCAAGCAGAAGCCCAAACACACCCTGCAAGGCACCTCTCAAACAGTAACCTGTCCACGTGACCAGAAATGAAGGGATGACAGTTCTAAGGTCTATGAATGGATGAATGGTGGTCACTGGGGTGATCTTACTGCTTAAGAGGGTCACTTACAATTAACAACCATGAGTTCTTTTAAAAAGGAAGTTATTGATGAAATCTACCACCTCTACTTTCCTATGCACTTTTTCTTATACCCTTTCTCATACAATCCTTGACAATTCCACTCACCCCAAAACTCCTGCTTGCCAGACACCTGGACATCCTACCCTTCTCCACACAGCACACATTTTGTAGAGCAAAAGTAACAGATAATACTCACCAAACCATTTAATATTTGGCTCCACTCTTGCCACTGTGCCAGAAGCCACCGATGATTGATACTGCAGAGGCTTAATCACTTTACCACGACTGTTCCTAAATTGAGGAAATTAACAGGCTTTGGTTGAGAACAGAAGAAAGGCAACAGCAAGTTTGGTTTACGGAACACCCTTCCCATCAAAAGGGCCTTTTCTTTTCTTTCTTTGTTTTAAATGATCATGAAATACAGATTTCAATAAACAAAAAGTACTTCTACATTTGAAACAGATTGTCCAAAAGCCATTTACCCTCTTGCAACAGAGCATGTAATGATTTCTGCTAGATGAATAGCAAATAATGCCAATGTTTAAAAATCTGTTTACTGTTTCTTGCTTTTTTAAAAAAAGTCACATACTTGAGTTTTGTGGGGTTTTTTTTCGAGTAATTATTTGAAGGCTGCTTTAAATGAATTTTAAGTAGAGGGTGATTTATGCTGGAACTCGAAATTCTAAAACAAACTACAGGGTAGGTGACTAAGGCAGATTAAGTTCATTGACATTTGTTTTTAAGACACATCTTTTAGGACGGATGGAGATTCTTATTACTAAACAAATTAAGACCAGCCAGCAAAATGCCACAACTCAGCAAGTCCCTGCTATAGAGGCTGCCTCAGCAGAGTTGAGACGAGTTTTCAAGTGCCACAACATTGTGATCAAAAGTTTGTCATTAAAAAAACAAGTTTTCTGGCTGCTTTTATGACTACAGTCCTGTATGCTTTGTTAAAGAAATCCAGATTTCTGTCTGACAGATACTTAACCTGAGATTTAATATGCCATGCGTGGAGGCCAAGGCTGTGAGGAACAAGACCTCTAATTGCTGTAGGGTACTATGAGACAATCACAATTACACCACCCACTACCCTCATCTTGAACCCCAAATCCACAATTTATCATAACCATACCCATATAAAATGACATATGAAAATATACTACTCCTATTGGGGAAAGAAGTGGTGAGAATATCAAAGGTTTAATGGTCTCCAGTTACAAGTCAGGGGCATGGAGGACAGGGGAAGAGATGACAGTGCCCGATGCTCACCTGCGCTCCTTCTGCCTGTACATATTCAGGCGCCGGATTGTGGCCCGGTCCCTCATGTTTTGGCCTCCTGCTCCCTGCACTCGATCTAGGAAACACAGAAGTAGACTGACTGCACACTCTTTGATAACCAAATCTAAGTATGAACATTGCTCCAAGCACACCAATTAGTTCACTCAAGAGTAGGCAGGCTGACACCTCATGGCAAAATCTCTCCTTTCTCCATGTGTTGTTCCAACAAAGTTATTACTGGGAGCTCCATGGTATGACAAAGCTGACCTAATCTCTGATCCCCAATAGGACTGTACTTGATAATAATCATGGCTAATGTTTTTGAACATTAACTATGGCACTGTACTATCCGCATCACAGGCGCTGTCTCATGCAATTCACACAACCATCCTAAAAGAGGGATACATTATCACCATTCTGCAGGCTAAGAAACGATGCACAGCGTTCAGACGGTTTGCCCAAGCTCACAGAGCTACTAAATGGCAAAGCCACAATTTGAACAAAAGCACTTGATCACCACCTGTGATCTTACCTTCTAAGACACCTACCTCTGGGTCTCAGCTGAACAGAAATAGAGTGTCTGCTACATGAAAAGCACCATGGGACTCTCATTTTTATGCAGCCATGTTCCTAATATACTGGTTTCCTAACTTCCTAATGTTTGATTGTAGTTTAAGCAACAGCTAGTAGTTCTTGCCTTACATCTCAGAGAGAAAGAGGACAAATAAGCACTAGCCTAGTTTCTCATTTTGGGATCCCTTCAAATCACCCGTCTACTGCTGAAGCAATGCAGGAAAAAAAAAAAAAAAAAAAAAAAAAAAAAGCTAAAATCACAGGACTACTGGCCCTACTGCTCACTAACTGATGACAGCCACTTCCCCTATTTTGGCTCAGTGTCATCACCTATAACATCATGATCTCTAAGGGCCTTTTGGGGTCTCATATTCTAAGATTCCAGTCTACCCAAATTGAATAATTTATCAGTAATCCAGAGAAAACATTGGGCATGAATTAAAATCATCAAAAACTTTAAATCATATTTAAAAACAAAGTTTTACTAACTAAACCTGAAATGGAACCCCTCCCCCCCATCTCCCAAAGTCTTCCTTGTTCATCCGATAGGTGGAACCTCCACAAAACCCAAACAACAGCTTCAACAGCACTTTTATGTAGGGTTTTCTCTGAACTTTACTCTATAGGCTGACTTCAAAAGTCAAATCTACAATGTCTTTCTCATTTAAATGGTCAAAGCTTAAGTGGCAGGCAAGTGCGGTCAAGGATAAAAGGCCAGCTGGGTTGGCCCTACACCACTGTTAACCTGACTTTACTTCTGCAAGTTCCTTGGGCTGGAAAAGTGGCATCATCCCAAGACTGAGATGTGTTGGGGGAGGGGCTCCAACACCTGATCCACACAAGAACACAGGAAGAGGTCAAGGGGACCTGCCCTTTCCAACTCAGAGCTTCCGAGTCCCAGCCCCTCACCCCGTGGGGCCGCCCCCCCACCTCCCCGGTGCCAGGCCCGAGTGCCCCCCCCCACTTCCTCGACTTCAGACCCGGGGCCTGACAGGCGTGCAGGACCCTGGCAGCCCTCCTCCGTGCTCCCGAGAGAAGCAGCCACCTTCTCATCCCCCAATAGCCACCCGACTCCGAGTCATCCCGAGCAATACCGCCCGCGCGTCCCCCTCCCCTCGGAGCCTCGCCCCCGGCCGCCGTCAAGCTCCGCCTCCCGCGGGCCCGCCGCCAGTACCCGGGTTCGTGCTGGCCTTCGAGGGGTTGATGGTGCTCCGTCCTTTGTACTTGGGCTTCACCATCTTGCCGACGGGCGGAGGACCGGAGCGCTAGGTCCGGCCTATCTCAGGTAAAACGAGCTCCTAGCTTCCCGGACCCGGCCGAAGTGACCCGCGTGAACTACGCTAGAACACGCGTGCGAGCGCTACGTCACTTCCGCTCGCGCCCCGTGCCTCCCCAGAGCGACTTCCTGCGTACGCGCAGAGCGCGCCGCCGCCGCCCTCCTGACTCCGCCCCCGCCCCCCGCCGCTCAGACCGCGACCAGCGCGGAGGCCACGCCCCTCTTCCTCCCTAGCAACCGCCAAGCTGCCCCTCCATAGCAACCGCCTAGATACCTTCTTAGATTGAGTCCAAGGACCCAGAGCTCCTAGTTGGGTCCAGCCCCAAACACAGGGGTCTCGCCCCAGGCCAGTGGCACAAGCTTAAGTTGAATGATCTGGATTTGTCTTTTAAGCCCTTCTGAAAGTGACTAAACACACAGCAGCTGAATATCAATCAGATTTTGTCACCCTCTCTCTAAAACTCCAATGGTTTGGAGTTAGAGAGAGAGACAGGCCCAGAAATCTTGTCATCCCTACAGAATTTTGCATGATCTGACCCCTGCCTATTTATTTGACTTCATCTGTACCTCCCTCCCTCTGATTATTCTGACATTTACACTGGATGTTCCCTCTGCCGGAATCACTCTGAGCCTGTCTTTGCTTAGTTGGTTTCTCCTAGTCATTTGGTTCTCAGTTCAAATGTTACCCCCTGGGAGGGTTGCAAGATTTAGCAAGTAAAAATATGCCCAGTTAAGTTTGAATTTCAGAAAGACAATGAATAACTTTTTAAAAAATTGATTTCAGAGAGGGAGAGAGAAATGGAAACATTAATGACAAGAGAGAATCATTAATTGGCTGCCTCCTGAATGCCCCCTACTGGGGATTGAGCCCACAACCCAGGCATATGGGTCTGGAAGGAAACCTGTAGCCTCTTGGCACAGAAATCTTGTCATGGGTGGACACTTAATTGCTAAGTCACACCCAGCTGGATGACAATGAATAACTTTTAGCATAAGTATGCCAGATGCAATATTTTAGACATACTAAGAAAAATGTATTATCTGAAATTCAAATTTACCTAGGCATCCTCCTGTATTTTATCTGGCCTCCCTTCCTACTGGGAGGTCTTTCCTGTGGTTAAAAAAATAAACAGCAGGTCAAAATGGAGTCACTTTTTTAAAAAATATAAATTTTTATTGATTTCAGAGAAGAAGAGAGAGGGAGAGAGAGATAGAAACATCAATGACAAGAGAGAATCATTGATCATCTGCATCCTGCACACCCCATACTGGGAACTAAACCTACAACCTAGGCATGTGCCCTTGACCCTTGACCAGAATCAAACCTGGGACCTTTAAGTCCACAGGCTGACCGATGCTCTGAGATCAAACCAGGTAGGCCCAAACCAGCTAGGACTGAAGTCACTTTTGCTAAGTTATGTCACCAAACCAAAATTTAAAAGCTAACCTAATTGCAGTTTCTGCCTTTCCCAGGAATAGGATTTTAAACCAATCTGATCAACAATAGTGAGATAATTTGTCTGAAATAATCCACTCTTTTAATTTCTTAGTTCCACTCTCTTTCTGCCTATAAAAACCTTCCACTTTGTATAAATCCTTGGAGTGCCCTTCTAGTTGTTAAATGGGAAGCTGCCTGATTCATAACTTAATAAAATCAATTAGATATTCAAACTTACTTGATTGAATTTTGTTCTTTAATACTGTCTCATCTATCTAAATCTCCCACCTTTCTGCAGTTATTCTGTTACATATTGTTTTATTTACTTCATGGCATTTATTAGTAGCCAAAGTTGTGTTATTTACCACTTCATCTGCTACTTCCCCAAAACTATAATAGAATGTAAGCTTCCTGATAGCAGGGACTTTATAAGTTTGTTCACTGCTGTATTTCTAAGATTTGGAAAGGCACTTGAAGCTCAGTAAAAACTCAAAAACTATTCACTGAATGGAGGAATGCATAGATGGTGTCTTAGCTCATCCTGCTGTAACAAAATATCAGACTGGATGGCTTAAACAATGCTTTTGTTCATTTTTCACAGTTCTGGAGTTTGGGAAGTCCAAGATCTGGGTGCCAGCATGGTTGGGTTCCTGGTGAGAACTCTCCTCCTGGCTTGCAGACAGTTGTCTTCTCACTGTGTCCTCATGTGTTGGAGAGACAGGGAAGGCTCTGGTCTTTTCCTCTTCTTACAAGGGCACTAATCCCATCATATGGGGCTCCACCCTCATGATCTAATCTAAGCCTACTCACCTGCATAAGGCCTCTCCTCCAAGTAATGTCACACTGGGGATTCAGCCTTTGAATTTTAAGAGGACACAAACCTTTAGTTAATAGTAGAAGGGAATGCTTCTTGCCCCGAGTGGGAATGAGGATGGTAAGACCCAACAGTTTCTGTTTCTACTGGTCAAAATAAAGTTTCTAGATGCCAGTATTTCAACCAATAATCCCTCCTTCTTTTTTCTTTCCTTCCTTCCTTCCTTTCTCCCTTCCTTTCTTCCTTCCTTCCTTCCTTCCTTCCTTCCTTCCTTCCTTCCTTCCTTCCTTCCTTCCTTTCTTTCTTCCTTTCTTTCCACCTCAAATTGCCAGGAAGTGCCCACCACTATGCTTCCATGATAAGCCAGAGAAGAGGTGGTGAGGCAGGAGGAAGGTGAATTCCAGCCTGTCGTGAAGCTCATTCCGTAAAAACAAACAACTTGGTACAGAGTGAGTTATCCTAATTGTGAGCTGAGTCTGAAACAAACAAACCCCAAAACATTCTTCCTAGAGCAAAAGAGGGCGGTGTCCTAAACAAGAGCTGGAAGTACCTTCTCTCCCTGGAGTCTCACGTTTATTGCCCCCAGGGCAAGTATAATATCATGAGATTAAACACAATTTCGCTATGGACGCCTGACCCGGACACGAGGTCCCAGGGAGCCTTTGAGAGCTGATCAGAAACTTTTTGTCCAGTGAGGATCCAAAGATGTCCTCCTCTGCCTCACACTGTCCCTTTGATCCCCCAAATGAGGGTGCAATAGCCCACTCCCAGAGAGAAGACCAGGATAATGTGTTTCTGATGCCTCAATTTGGTTCAAACCAGAATAAACACGAATGGCAAAAATCAGCCCATGAGCTCATTCAGGCTTTGATCAGAGACATAATTTCATTATGAAATTTTGAATCAAGCTGTTGTGAAGTCTTGCCAAGGAGTTTCATTTTCCCAGATGATATGGTGGGTTGTTTCTCTCCTGTTCTCATACTCAGCTTGCATTTATCATACAAACTTCCCATCTATTTTTATAACCTGGTACATCAATCCTTTTACAACAGCATTTGCTGATCCTGACAACCAACCTCCATTCTACTAGCCAAAAATAAGCTGGATCCTGGTGGGTCAAGCTAAAGGGATCGGTTTGGTTTGCCTTCCCTGCTTACCACAATTGAAATACACTGACTCTTTTTCACTCCCCTCTCTGATATCGCGGTAGCTAGAGGAGGCAAGATACACTTTCAAGCCTACAATTGCTCAGCTTTAAAATAGACTTATTAACTACCCGGAAAGACTGCTGAAAGCATTGTAGTCATGACACAGGTGGGCCGCTTTCTCCTTTCCTACATGGCTCGCCCTCATTCCCTGGGCTCCTGCTTCCAGGAGCCCACATGTTAGTGTGAATGGGAAGATCCCAAAGGAACTACCCGAAAATGCCACTTTTCTGAAGCAGCCTCAGGCCAAGCTCTGATAGGAAACTATGGGCTGGTGTTTCTACAGGAAGCAAAGGATCCTGACCTCACTGTCTTCACCATTCTGTACGAACACTTTCATTAGGATCTCATGGACAAGCAGCAGCAGCTTTGAAAATAAGGTTTTTCCAAGTGTGGTCTGAGGTCCCTCAGCATCAGGATCACCTGGGGGAAGTGGTTGAAAATGTAGACACCTGGGCTTCGCCCTTGAGCTAGTGAATTTAGACTCGCTGAAGGTGGGGCCCAGAGAATATGAATTTTAAGGAGCTCCTCACGAGCTTCTTGTTTTCACAAAACTCTGAGTTCTGAAAAGCAAAGTCTTTCCCAAAAGTTGCTCTCAGGCTCTCAGACCCGATGACCAGAAGGCAGCCCTGGTAAGGCCCAGCTCCTTCCCCACCTATGTGAGATCCTCTCGTTCTTTCTCTCTCTGCAGAGCCAGGGTGAGGAAGGCTGCAGCAGGGTCTAATGCACTCAGAAAATATATGTCTTGGCTCTGCCCCAAATGCCTTGATATTTATGCTGCAGCTGGAGGGTCGTTATCCTTTGGCAACGCTCCATTGTAAGGCCATTAGCTCTTAATTAGTGCCAGCTTGTTGGTTTAGCCTTCCCAGTTGAACCCAGAGCAGAGGCTTCTCTATGCAACCTCCCGGGTCTCTCCTCTGGCAAGTCCATGAGTAACTGACCCCTGCCTGCTGGGGCCAAGAGGTGGGCCCTGGAAGGGCTGCCGCTCAATGTGAAACAGCTACCAGCCCCCAAGCAGAGGCTCTGGGACCCTGGAAGAATAGGGAAACCACTTGGAATATGTTTTCAGGGTTTTGTTATTGTGTTTCTTTTGTAGGAAAAAAAAAAAAAAAAAAAGATGCATAGCCCTGCCTGAGTAGTTCGGTTGGTTAGAGCATCGTCCCAATACACCAAGGTTGCAGGTTCTCTCTCTCTCTCTCTCTCTCTCTCTCTCTCTCTCTCTCTCTCTCTCTCTCTCTCTCTCTCTCTCTCTAATTTCTAAAATCATTCAATTAGCCGAAACTGGTTTAACTCAGTGATAGAGTGTCGGTTTGCAGACTGAAAGGTCCCGGGTTTGATTCCGGTCAGGGGCATGTACGTTGGTTGCGGGTAGGGGATGTGCAAGAGGCAGCTGGTCGATGTTTCTCTCTCATCGACATTTCTAGTTCTCTATCTCTCTCCCTTCCTCTCTGTAAAAAATCAATAAAATATATTTTAAAAAATAATAATAAAAAATAAAATCATTCAATTAAAAAAAAGTATGGTGCATTGAACTGAAATTTTATATATATATAATTGATTTTTTTACAGAGAGGAAGGGAGAGGTCTAGAGAGCTAGAAATGTCAATGAGAGAGAAACATCGACCAGCTGCCTCT